TTGCCAGCGTTGCAAGAGATCTGTGCTCTTCCACTAGGGATAAGTTCCAGCTGCTTCAAGACCCAGCACCGATTGCACACAACCCCTTCTATCGTCTTTTCTCCCTCAGAAATATGACAGCTTGCTCCCTTCCGTCCCCAAACTCAACTAGGAAGAAACCCCGTCCGTCTGCCCACCCCGCGCCCCCAGACAGACCCTCGCACCATCCACTTACGCGTGCAGGAAATGACGACTTCAGTGGGGAGACTGCAACAGAGATCTCCGTAAAGCAGCCTCACGTTGAAGGGAAAGGTCTTGCTTTTACTCGGCACTTTGTAATTAAAGACCAGCAAGTTACACAAGGAGTTCCTCTGCAAGGTTCCTTCTATCTGGTCTGAAAAGTGTTCCTGGAGGGACAAAGTCACGAAAACTCAAAAGGGAGTCCATCAGTGTATGCCCCCACCCTCCATACCAGCCCAGCATGCCTATATGCTCTGGGACGGCTGTGTGTGCAACAAGCCTTGTGTGGGAAAGACTTAAATAAACAAGCGCTCACGCACCCCCTTACGCCACATCCTCCAGCGGCTTTTTCTAAGATCACAGCTATTTCAGCTCAAAGACCTCCAGAGGGGAGGACAGCTTTGCGTTTGGCAGTAAATTTTATGTGAGCGAGACACTCAAGTACGTGACAATCGATGAAACGGGCAATTGAGTTTATAGTCACCCGATGATTTGTGAAGTTCTAAAAACCAGAACTGAGTGCTCCACATGAAGAAAACTGCCCAGATTTGCCCCAGCACTTCACTTGGTACACCAAAGGGAAAAGGACGGGTGAACAGCATTGCTGCGGCCACTGGTACCTGTAACTGGTCTGCCTGGTACCTCCTCCCCGCGTAAGCGTTCAGGTGGTCGGACAGGACAGACAAGAAGCGCCTGATGTCTGTCTGCAAGTACTTCTTGGCGATCTGCTGCAGGGGGATGAAGATGGGGACGGAGTGACGGTAAATCTGCACTTCCGGCTTGGTGAGCAGGTCCAGGTGGTAGGAATCCAAGTAGGTGCCCTCGTAAGCCGTGCTGATGCAGAAACACACTCCCCGCTTGGTCAGCTTCCCACTGATCCCTTGGAGAATCCCAGAGAGAGAGGGTTTACTCTCACTCATCGCTGCGGGGCAGCTTTGCTGGGGCAACACAGACTGCAAGGGGGGCTGCGTCCTCTTACTCGGCTAGCTCAGGGAGCTCCCGAGGACGGTTACAGACTTGCTGTGTTTTACATCCCTAAACTCTTGCAACTGTTTAATAAGGGACCTCTAATGAATTCAGCAGCTTAACGGTAGCTTCAATTCTCAATAAGTGAGTTATGCTGCCAATTCAGACGCAGTCCCGGCTCCAGGGAGAACAGGCTGCCCTGGGTGGAAGGCGGCAGCGGTTCGCTGAGCCACAGGGGCGCCCACTTGCGGCCAGCAGGACTCACATCCTCGCACCGTTCAGAATCATAAGATGGTTTAGGTTGGAAAGGACCTTGAAGATCATCTCGTTCCAACCCCCCTGCCCTGGGCAGGGCCACCTCCCACCAGCCCAGGTTGCTCCAGGCCCCGTCCAACCTGGCCTTGAACACCTCCAGGGATGGGGCAGCCACAGCTTCTCGGGGCAACCTGCCCCAGGGGATCACCACCCGCACAGGAAACAATTTTTTCCCAGTATCTCATCTCAGTCTCCTGTCTCTCAGCGTCAAACCATTCCCCCTCGTCCCACGGCTCCCCTCCCTGATCCAAAGTCCCTCCCCAGCTCTCCTGGAGCCCCTTTAGGCACTGGAAGGGGCTCTGAGGTCTCCCCTTTTCCGCCTTCTCTTCTCCAGGCTGAACCCCCCCAACTCTCCCAGCCTGTCCTCCCAGCAGAGGGGCTCCAGCCCTCCCAGCATCTCCGGGGCCTCCTCTGGCCCCGCTCCACCAGGTCCATGTCCTTCCTATGTTGGGGGCTCCAGAACACAGAGCAAAGGTGACTCTCGTTGGAAAACAACTTTTTTTTTTTTGTTTTTGTTTTTTTTTTCAAAAAGCTCAGGAGCAGATGAAAAGAAGGTGCTGACCTCACAAGCTTGCTTGGAAGACCCAGACTACTGCATATTTAACTGCCTAATTCCCAAAGGCTTCACTCATAAGGTAGTTACACATTTTCCAGAATCTAGACCTTAGTTGAAATAATACAGTTCAGCAAATAATAGTTCCCAGAACATCTCAGAGGCCTCCTCTGAAAGGCAGGGAATTACAAGGTCACTGCTCTTGGAGCGTTTTCAGACTCTAAAGGCTCCAAGCACAACAGCAGCAACGTTAACAGGGAAGTTATACTTCACATCAAGCTCATTTTCCAAAATTTAGCACCCCAGAAATGCAGCCATCGGCAGAACACAGGCAAACCTCGAGACATTACCTGTGAGGTAAAAGACCTCCAGCATGGCCTTAATGCTTTTTATCTTCCACTCTAAAACAGCTCGAGCACTGGGCTGTGCAGGATTTGACACACCTCCTTCTTTCCCAAGTTGCTACAAAAGCCAGAAGAGGAGAGAGGTCAGAAATCACCAACACGAACATGTCACCTGCAGAGAACACAGTCAGGCTACAGAGAAATAATAACCTGGCTCTGAGAAAAGCGAGACATCATTTCAAGCAGAAAAGGGGAGAAAAACCTCAAGAGAAGAGTTCAGAAACGGCCACGCGACCTTGATCCAGCAGTTCTGGACCACACGGCACTGAAAGCAGGGGACACCAGGACTATATGTCATTTTAAAAGGGAAAATAAAAAGAATAATAGTTGATTCTATATGAATAAACTCAATAAATCCACCCTCTGAGAGCAGGAGCACCCCAAAGCTCTCTGCCAGATCTCTGCAGCGAGCCCTTTCTCACCCTTTTTTGCTGCAGGTCCACTTTAGCCCGCAGCTCATCCCTCTGGAGCCTCAGCTCCTCCACTCTTGCTTTCAGCCTGGCCAGTTTCTCTTCTTGCTGCTCCGTTTCCTCTTGCTTCACGGCTGCCTTATGAGCCCGCGCCTCCAGCATTTCCAGGTAGGCAAACACCCCTGCGAGGAAAAACACAACACGCTCTAAAATCCAGGCCGTGATTATTAGTGCTCTGCATTGCGGTACCCAAAACAAAGTAGGTCCAGTGCACATACATAAAGAAACCCACTTAGAACAGCTTTTCAAAGGGGCAGGGGACAGGCAAACATCTGGCAAAGAGGCTTTTGGGAATTTTAGAGAGCCAGGCTGAGTGCCAGCAGACTCTAAACACTGCCCCGCACCAGCAGCTAAGCTCCTGAAAAGCAGAGTGAGCTGGCAAACACACCAGTCCCGATTCCAAGAGATCTGCAATTCCCAGTTTTACTTCTAACCCGGTACACAGAGCAGTGAAGCGACTTCGCTGAAGCCCCCATACCCTAAATTGGCTGAGAGTGACTCAAGGCATAACTTGGCAAGCCAGGGGGTCACTTCTGGCCCCAAGCATTTTAAGGTTCACTCCTGCAGGAGAACACACTTTGCACTTGGATGTCCCGCGCTCTGCACCCCAGACAGCTCACCGTCGGGTGAGTATGCTTTTCCTTCCTCCACCTTCTCTTGACACTCTCCCGCAAGTGGGAAGGCAGGCGACAGCTCTCCCTGGCCAGGCTCCATCCCTTAGGAAGCAGCGACGTGGGGGCAGTGAGAGTTCTTCGTCAGGGACCTTCCTCTTCCTCCTGCTGCTGCAATAGGACTCGGAGAAGCACCCAGGGCAGGTCTAGCATCCGGGCTGGATCCACGCAGGGACAATCTGATGGGTGAAATGACACATTATTGAACCCCATGAGGTCTAATGAGGCCAAGTGCAGCGTCTTGCACACGGGTTGAGGCAACCCCCGGTCCCAGCACAGGCTGGGGGATGAAGGGATGGAGAGCAGCCCTGAGGAGAAGGACTCGGGGGTGTTGGTGGATGAGAAGCTCCATGAGGGCGCAACGTGTGCTGGCAGCCCAGCGAGCCCCCGGCATCCCGGGCTGCATCCCCAGCAGCGTGGCCAGCAGGGCGAGGGGGGATTGTGCCCCTCTGCTGCGCTCTGCTCTGGGGAGACCCCCCTGCAGTGCTGCCTCCAGCTCGGGGGCCTCAGCACAGGAGAGACATGGACCTGGTGGAGCGGGGCCAGAGGAGGCCCCGGAGATGCTGGGAGGGCTGGAGCCCCTCTGCTGGGAGGACAGGCTGGGAGAGGTGGGGGGGGTCAGCCTGGAGAAGAGAAGGCCAAAAAGGGGAGAGCTCAGAGCCCCTTCCCGTCCCTAAAGGCCCGGCCCGGCCCCGCAACGGCTCCGGCACTCACCACAGCAACCGGCGCTCAAACTGCGCGCCTCAGCGCTGCCGGAAGGACGTCACCTCCCCTGACGCCATTTCCCCCCCTTCGCCGTACAACAAAATGGCGGCAGACCTGACTTCCTTCCTCCCCACCACCCCGCGGCTTCCCGCCTGCACCTCCCGGCCGGCCGCG